TGGAATTTTTGATATCTTTACAGACCGTAAAGCCGTTCATTTATTCCAATAAAGAAATAATAGTGAATTTCTTCAAAATAACTAACCTTTCTAAAACGTGGATAATATGGTGGAAAAGGTGGCCATACGTCAGCCATACGCTGAACCCAGATAGGCAGTACTAATGGTGGTTTAGGACAATCCATAATCTGTAAGTGTGGCTAGTCACTAATGACAAAACGCTTTCTTTGAATGCTGAAAAAACAAAAAAGGATTCCCATCACCAACTTGAAGTGAAAAAAGTGATTCTAAAAACTACCAATCTGGCAACTCCCCATTTGATGCGTAGTGGTTCAGGCGTTACTTTACCTTCCGGATAAATATGAACCCACGCGTTTTTTGACAGCTTTTCTAGGCAAAATTCCATTCCTTTTTGTCGTACTCCTGCTCCTCGGATGATAGGAACGCATTTTCCTAACGCAAAAAAACTGAAAAACTGCACATAAATAGAATCTAGTTAATTCACCATAATCTTCTGGTAAAATCATAACTAAAACAACAACGGCATAAGATTTCGTCTTAACTGAAACTTTAAACATTTTAATGAATCTACAAATTACCAAAATAAAACAAGACTGGTGGCAGCAATTATGATCTAAACAATGTAACAGTAAAAAAGTCAAAGACGCACTGAGTATGTAAAGCCTTGGTAAAACATATATTATGAGCCGCTAATGTATAACGAAATCTAGAGATATTAGCGAAAAACTCCTTCCACGAAAACATCGCTAAAAATCAAAATAGTTCAAATCATCAACAGCTGAAAATCATATTATGGAAAAACATACGCAGTACTATAAAAAGTTGGAACAAAGTAAGAGGGAAAACTTACACCAAATTAACGGGTCATCCATTGTAGTTCTATGATTTCCAACAGTGATCAGAGGCCTTGAGCGATTGCCGAGTACATCCAGCAATCTCTGTTTGTCAGTAACAGTCATACGATTCAAACCTTAAAGTATCTGAGCGCTTTTTGAAAGCAGAAAATACCTAGCAGACTAAAAAAAGTCAGGAAAGATCAATTTTTGGAGTTGCTCTGTGACAAACAATTATCAAGAGAAACACACAAAACAACAAAGTATTACCGAATGAAAAAAGAAGCTTGGAGCCAGATAAAACCAATGTCATGACGGCATAGGAACCTATGCGATACAAAATTGAAGGATTTCTTGGGAACGGCCAACCACATTTTAACCTCAAATCATCCTCCATCAAATTACCGGATTCAACAAATTAAGTGGTCTCCCACTAAAGTGAATCAGCTGTCCAATGTTGTAAAACCGCAGCAGCTGAAAGAAAAGTAGAATAGTTTAGAGACATTCAAAAATACGACACGTACCGTTACAACTACAGAATGTGCTTGATATTTCTGTCACTAACGCGTTACCTCTTATGTTCTTTCGCACAATTTCTTGAAATCTTTTAGCATCTTTTTTTCAGGCGATTAATTTTCTTTCGGGAACGACAAAAAAAAATTTTTTTTTTGAATTTTTAACCAACTCTTCTTCCACGCACGATAGCCAACTACAAAAGCTACATTACGATATAAACGTATCAGCAGAAAAAACATCAAAAAAAGTTATCATCAGCCCTTAATAGCCTAAAGAGATG